TTATATTTAGCTAGAAGCCTTATATATATTACGTGTGCTGCATTTTATGTAATGTTTATCTGTATTGTCCAAAAATGAATAAATAAACAAAAATCTCATGAAAATGTGTAATTTGACAAGAGATGTTCAAACTTGTGCTTACGATTTTATGATTTCAATCATTTTAACGTGTTTTCCTGTATGTGTTTCTGTAAAAGAGCAGAAAACCTGTTGCCTCAAACACAATTATAATAGAAGCCAATGTGCAGGCACTAGAGCAGCTCCCCATTGGGTTCTATTGTAAGTGTTCTATTGTAAGTGCTTTGACTGTGCAGGGAAATCATCTCCATAAGCGACCGCATGCTGCAGATGTAGTATATAGAGATTATGTTAAAAATGCTGGAACATTCCGTTAAAGAACTTAAGCACTGCAAGGTAAAACAAAGTAGGGAGACAGAGAAAGAGAGAGAGAGTGGTGAGGGAATGCAGAGAGGCAAAAAAAAACGTCTGTTTCAGCATGCCTACAGGCAGGGCAGGATAAGTTGACTCATTTTTTCTCTCTCCCCTTGAGCTGCCCCCCCCCTTTTTTTCTCTCTCTTTCCAACCCAGTCCCTCCAGCAGACAGCAGAGAGCCACACCCAGAGCCTCACCCTCTCACACTCTCTTTCACACTCCTTGTCACACACACACACCCTTTGAGTCTTTCTAGAACCCATGTTAATAAAGTTCAAAGTTTGATCCATTCCTCTAGCAACAAGACATCAGAGAGTAGTGTTATGTAATATTACCTAACAATAACACAGTGTCCAGTTTCAGTGTTTAAACGCTGAGCTGGACTTTCCTCACTAAGACTCCGTTGGCCTAGTAGTCTTGATAAGGTAGTAGTTAATGATGAACTCTGTTGGGAGTGAATATCATTATGCATTCCTTTGACTTGCCAGATATTTGTATGTACATTTTTGCAAATGTGTAGGCACACGCTTTAGGGAGTATGTGTTTTTAGAACTGTGAGCTCCTGGCTAAAGAGGCATGAAACTAAAATCATCCTTGGAGTGCAGGATAAAGTTCAGGCCTGCAAGAAGATTATCACCCTAAACGCAGTAACTCACGCTAATGAAGACAGCATGACAGCGTGTTTCCGAATATAACAGGCCCAACTTCTGAAAGTATATCACACAGCAGTTGCTCATGACTGCAGTACACAGTCCTATGCAGAAATCAGAGATTTAGTTTCCAGTCAAAATGGTCATTTCAGGAGATATTTCTCAGGAGATTAGATAAAACACTTTCTTCCTATCTGCTTGCATGAGGAAGGAAGAAGTCAAAGGAAAATAAGTGAAACAAACGTTTAAAAGTCATAGAAAAAATTGGACTCTACAATCATACAAGGCCTGGCAGACCACCAAAGCTGTCTCCATCAGATAAACCATGTCTGAAAGGATTTGCAGCTGTCAAGAAGCCGTTACTGAGAAAACAGACAATAAAAAAAAATTGCAAATCAAACAAAGAACAAGGACTGACCACCCCAAAGTACTTGAAGAAAATGCATCTAACTTCTAAGACTTCTAAAACTTTGGAGGTGTGGAAAATATTTCTGCAGATTTCTTTGAAAAACTGAATGCAAGTCTCCTAAAAAGAATGGAAGGCAAAGTGCAGAGACACTAAATACTGAAAATACTATTATTATTGATGTTATTTTTAGTTGTTGAGGCTTTTGTGTAATTTTAAGTGAAATGTGTGTTTTTTGATTTTTTTTCTTTATGCTGAAAAGTGAATAACTTGTACTTAATGGCCATTTTGACCATGAATTAATTATATGAAAGGTGGTCACTGACATTTGCACACTACTGCACAGTAGGGATGTACACACGGGATAGGCCAGGACTGGAAACAGCTGATTTTTGCATCAAATATGCAGTGTCATTTATTTTTATTTAACTGATCTGATCATTACTCATTGTGCTAAATAGCCAGTTGCCTCTTACTTTCAGTGTAGCACTTTATTTGATTGAAGTTATTTAAATAGGTAACTTGCATTTAAGAAGTTAAAATGACAGTTTGGCCCATTAAAGTGTAAATAATGTTGTTTATATTGCTGCTTTGTCTCATTGAAAGTATTGAATATGTGCTAGGGTTTTCCATGTGTTCAGTTCAAAATAAAAAAGGCTAATAAAAATCGATCGTCGGCCAATTTTACTGTGAAGAAATCAGAATCACAGTCAGCCATGAAACTTCATGATTGGTGCAACCCTAGTATACACAGCTATATTTCTAAGAACATTGTTACTCATAGATCAAACTATAATATAATTAGGAAAAACCCCTGACAAACAGCATACACTGAAAATGAAACACCACGCAGGCAGCGCGGGACCTGCCTTTTATGTTTGGGGTGTGTCCGAAGGTATTAAAAAATAGCTTAACTACAGTTTCACATTACCTGCTTATGTGTGCAACACTGTGCCAAACCAAGCTGCGATGAAATTCACATGTAAAGATGACTTGTTCTTTTTCCATTTCACCCTTTTGAAAGAAAAAAAACAGCATCTGTGGGCAGATGCTGGCAGATTAAATGCTTAAATAGAAATTTCTTCAGGGCAAATGGCATCAAAACCTCATCCAAATAGAAGTCCGCATGAATGAAAATGTTATCCAATGTTTATGCCTGAACTACCTTTTATCAACTGTTTATGGTAGAGATTCCTTGTCGGTAACGATGATATCAGCAGAATATGCTGGATGGAGGGACAAGAGTAGAGGGGTAGTAGAGTGTTTAAGCATAATTCTCACAGGAAAGAAATATTCTAAATAAGATCTTTTAATCTCATTTACTAATCCTAGACATCAGTATTTCTCAGAGAAGGAAGGAATTTCTCTAGGTGCAAGTATCAACGTAAATTTAAGTAATGTAGACAAAACATAGACAAAAAAAGATAAATAATGCAATGTGTATGTGTATGTATATATATATATATATATATATATATATATATATATATATATATATATATATATATATAAAATCACTGTAATATCAAAATCTCGTATCTCCAAAACGAGAAAAAACATACTCTACTTTTGATGTAAGTCAATGGAACCAGACTTTCCAAGGAATTTTGGGTAATTTCTGTTTGTTTATTCATCATGAAATTTACACACAATGTATAAGACCACAGGTATTTTCAAATTATGTCAAAAACAACAAACATGGAGATATGCGGATTTTCTTCCGACAGCAGCGATATATACATATATAGATATGTGTGTGTGAATGTGTGTGTGTGTGAGAGAGAGAGATTTTTCTATATTATATCTAATATATTTGTAAATACATACATATATATATATATATACATACATCATCTAAACCGCTTATCCTACTGGGTCGCGGTGGGGTGCTGGAGCCTATCCCAGCTGTCATTGGGCGGAAGGCAGGATACACCCTGGACAGGTCGCCAGTCCATCGCAGGGCAGACATACACAGTCACACACTCAGTCATACCTAGGGGCAATTTAGCATGTCCAATTGGCCTAACTGCATGTTTTTGGACTGTGGGAGGAAACCGGAGGAAACCCACGCAGACACAGGGAGAACATGCAAACTCCACACAGAAATGACCCTGGTCGCCCGGCCGGGAATCAAACCCAGGCCATTCTTGCTGTGAGGCGACAGCGCTACCCACTGCGCCTCTCTCTCTCTCTCTCTCTCTCTCTCTCTCTCTCTCTCTCTCTCTCTCTCTCTCTCTCTATCTCTCTATCTCTATCTATCTATCTATCTATATATATATATATATATATATATATAGATAGATAGATAGATAGATTCATGTGAAAGTTATTTTCTCCTGTTTCTAAAATTTGCCTCTTGCGAAACAACCCTCAGATTTTCTCACCGTCTCTCAACCGTCTCATAGATTGCTTAACTATTTAGTGTCTGACTCTTCTCACCCCAAACTTAGCTGAATAATATTTACATAGGGAAAGTAATCTCATCATTTTTTTTCAGCTCTCTGCTGTATCTCAGACCTCCTTCAGCAGTCTGTCATGTAGAAAGAGTCCTTTTCACCAGAACTTACAAGGAAACGCTGAGGTTAATCTCTTTTTCTTAAGGGGGTTCAGGAGAAATAATTCAGAAATCAGTGATCGTCCATAATATTGACAGACGTTTGAGGCAATCTTAGGAAAAACACTTTTCCCTTTTGTTTGGCCAAAAAGAGTTACCACTATGAGCATTATGGATGTTATGTTGGTCACAGGTGGCAACCCCCACAGTTTACCTGTACAAAATCATTTTTATGCGGCTGGGATGCAGGAGATGTAGTCAAAAATAAAGATAAAGGTACTTTTAAACCTCTGTCTCACCTTGTAGATGACACTACACTATCAGAAACCTTTAGTTCTGTCAGCTCACTGCAGAACACAGCCTGACTCCTCTCTCTCTGCTTTAATGAATATCTCTCTCTCACCAAGTGCCTTTGAATGGCTATGTATTTGACAGTGTGAGACACTGCTTAGCTGGTTAACTCCTGTTAAATGAAATACAAATAACATGTTAAATCTGTATAAAGTACTTGATTACCAAAGGAATACATCACAGTAAAGTTTTTAAAAAGATATATTGACACCATGATTAGAGTTCAGTTTATGTTTCATTAGCTTTTTCAGATTGACTGTTGTTGTTTTTTATTTTGTGAAAAGTGAAGGGAACTGTACTTTAACTTAAAATACAGTTATTATTATTATTATTATTAATATTATTATTATTATTCAAATGATCACAAAAAATACATAAAATATCTGTATCTAGCTTTAATATGGTGATTTTGGGCTGTCCCATAATTGCAGTGGTATATGGTTATGTTCTGCAGTTTAATCAGTTTTAAAAAGTCATTTTAACCTGTATCCAACATTTTATGTGCATTCATGTAACCAAAACCAGAAAGTTCGTTACGATGTTTACGGAAATCACCTGATCCTGTCTGTCTGTCTGTCTCTCTCTCTCTCACTCTCTCACCTTCTCTCTCTCTCTCACACATACACGCCCGTGACGTGCAGTTCCCAGCCCAGGGTGAGGGTGTGTGTGTGATGATGGAGAAAGAGTAGACCTCCTTCATTTATCTTCAATTCTTTCTTTCTCTCGGTGTTTGACGGTTGGACTCGACTCTACTCGGACTAAAGTGCTCGTGCACGGCAGCTCGAGGGCGCAGGAACCCCGCTCTTCCGGACATGGCCCGGTCTCTGTCGACAGCAGCTCTCAGTCTCTTCTGCTTCGCTTTATCAGTGAGTGACTTAGTTTCGAATTTTCTTAGGAGACGTTTCCGTGTTTCTTTCGGCTGTAAAACTCCCCACGATAAGCTCTGAGTGCCCGAAGCGGCCGCTCAGGTTACCACCTTATTACTGAGCGCGTTCAGAGAGCCGTTTGTCTTTGAACCAACAGACGTGTAAAGTTGTGTTAACGCATAGCGCAGTCTTGTAAAATAAATGGTCGCCTACAGCTACACTGTCTAGACTAACGTTAGTCAGTGTCCCAGAGTAGTCGTTGCATCTGTATGTTCACCGTGTGTATGTGTGTGTGTATTGTTCTGACCCGTGCTGTGGACTGTGGTTTCGAGACCCCGACTCTAGCTAGTTCGGCCAGTGTGCCCAAAGGCTACATGTTCATTTTTAGCTCTTTGCGACTCCAAGTAAATTGTTTGGTTCAGTCTCATAGCAACAAGGCCAGGTAAAAACATTGCTGTAAAATGGGCTTTTCCACTTGATTAGGGTGGAATAGAGTCTCACATTCCAGTCTTTGTCATTTCTTCACTTTTACAAACTGTTCACATGATGTGGTTTGGTAGAAGGAGTTGGCTGAGATCGCTTTCGTGGCACGGCTTTCGAAAAGACACGAAGCATCCTGTACTGTTGATTTGGAAGATACTTTCATAACCTACATTTTTGGTAGGGTGTATGGAAGTGGCTCCCATTCCCAGTTTAAGGGCCTAATGAATTTCACATTGCTGTTTTCCCAACAACAATTCCAACAACAGTGGAAAATATCAACATGATTACCTGATTCAGCAGCAGGTAACCATCAAGCTGTGAGGATAGGGGTGAAAGGGGATTTCCATTTTTTTCCTGACTTCTCTATAAGTCAATTGTTAAGTCATTTGGAGTGGTTTAATGTGATTCTGGAGAATCTTCCTAAGTCGGAATTGTTCGCAGTGGGGGTGATAGGAACCAGACGTCTGAAGAGTTTAATGTCTCGAAAAAAAGCTGTATTACAAAAAAAAGGTTATGAATATGCTGCCTAATGTCTTAGGATTGTTTTAGGATTGTTTTGAGACAGTCCTTTGGACTACAATGTACTTTTTCAAATCCATTAATGGTAGCGAGATACATGTAGGGTGTTAAAAGGCAACATGGTCCCCAAAGAAACCTTTTTTTTCCAATTTACCACTATTTTCTCATTCTCAACACATTACAGGTAAACGCTCAGCAGACGTGTAGACATTTAGATTCACCAGTGCTTTTGGAGAGTAAATGAAGTGGCTATATTTGTGTTGTAGACATTGCGACCCCTGGTTCCTATCACCTCCACTGTAAAGAAATTTTAGTCTTTGTGTTTCTCTACAAATGAACTGTTTCACATCAAACCACCATGATTGACTTTGTTTTTATCTTAATGTTTGAATTATGCATACAATTAAAGAATTGATAGAATTCCCCTTTAAGGTTAGGAAAAGTAAAATAGTGTGCGGAGCATGTTGTCCCAGGAACTGGAGTTGGAAACAACCGTTTTTTGATCATATATTGAATAAATGAGAAGTCATAATTCCCAATAATTGAGGTAATTCAGTTTTCTACAAAGGCAAAAAGTGCATTGCAAACATGTTAGAACAAGAAAGTAGTTTGGCAATAGACAATTGTGTCCCTACTTAGTTTTATGGCAGTTCCTGATGTACTTGTTCAGTCCTACAGTCATATTTGTGTTTCAGTAGGAGACACCTCCTACTAAGATGTGTGCACAAGCTTGTCTACAGCTAGTTTTTCACTCACCACTCTGTGCTCGTGTGATTGCAATCATCTTGAATCAGATGGGAATGTCTGGTAGTTAGCCTGATACAAGGAAGGCCAGAAAGATGTCCTGTGTGAATATTAGCTGTAGGAAAGTTGGTTTAAAATGAAGAATACAAAAAATGCTGTAGCCTTTTCCTAATCTAACACACTTGACACAGCCTGATGACCATTTAAGTATTATATCAGAATTAGACATCTCATATTTACTGTGCTATTATACAGAAAGCAGTCAGAATAGACAATGTTTGAAATAGACGTTGTTTGTTTTGTAGAAACATGAAATATGTTTCATTCCGAAATGTTGTGTTCGGTTAATGCAGAACATCAGGACAAACATCACAAGTACTTTATTTGTCAGTGACAGTCACCTTTAAACACCCACTGTTAAAAATGATTCGATGCTTAAACTTTTTTTGTTTTCCTGTACATGCCTAAAAAATTTTGAGTTAATTGAATTTAAAATAATGTAAAACAACAAAGCAACCATATTACTTACTATTTGAAGTTAAAACATCGAATCATTTCTTACAGTGTGGAGGAATCTCTGTAACTGCTGTGACAGTCTTTGGCAATACATCAGCATCGACTTCCGACAGACAGAGTACCAGTTACAGTGTGAAATGTCTGTGTACTGTGCTTTGCAATAGTAAAACCATTTAATTGTGGTGCTGCCATTGCGCTGTTTCAGCGGTTCTTGAATATGGCTTTAATCACTGAAGCGGGCTGGCTTGTCACTGCTTTGTGCTGTATTGGCTGAGGGAGATGTTTGGTTGACAGGAGCACAATGTTGCGATAGGTACTATCCTGTCAAGCAGATGGCTGTTCAGACAGGCCCTTGATTTGTCCACCATTTTGTGCCTTCCGTGTTACTGTGTTGTGCCTTTCCCTGTTGGTGTTGAAAACGATCGGTGCTGTTGTACTTTGATTCACCTGAAATCTATATTTTCAATATGATTAACATCAATTCTAGTAGTTCATGTTTAGTAGACACTGAACAGTCGATACATGTTATTGCATAGAACAACAGAAAAGAGAAGACTTGTGATATAAAAGACAAGACAGAAGAACGATCCCATTGTAGGTTCATGCTTAGGCTACCATGCAAAATGCTTGTAAGTTTAATAGCTAAACTCTCTCTCTCTCTCATCTTTTTCTAGTGCGTGTTGGAAGCTGAGGCCAGAGCAGACTTTTCTATAGCCCTTCACCGGCAGAAGAGGGAATGGATCGTTCCTCCACAAGTTCTGGAGGAGAATGTGGACCACACCAAAAAGGAATTCATTGCTAGAGTGAGAATGCTCTCATTATCAAAATCTGGCTTTCTTCTCTTTGGCCTAAAAACATTTTTTACCATTCAAAAATGCCAGCTGCCATTTACACTGTGCAAACATTTTGTGATAAATGGTCGACCAGATGATTTCAAAAGCAAACCTTTCCATTTTTTTAAGTTACATTAACTGAAATTTAAAAATGTTATTTCCCTCTGCTGTAAAGTTACTGCTTTTGAGATTCTAGGTTTTCTTGATAACTTATGTATGATATGTATGTTTCAGATTCGCTCGGACAAAGATGACAATGAAAAGAACTTAATAACCTATGCCTTAAGGGGCGTTGGAGCAGACCAGGCACCCTTCAACCTGTTTGTTGTGAACCCTGACAGTGGTTTTGTTCGGATAACCGGCATCCTGGACCGAGAGATGATTTCGCAGTACAATGTAGGTCTATTTAGAGCAAAAGGCCCATATCCTACATTTTTCTTGTTGTTTTTTGTTTGTTGTTTTTTTTTTGTTTGTTTGTTTTTTTGGCTAAAATCCACTGTGTGGGTTTTTATTACTATGCCGTCAAGACTGATACGTAAAGGATATCTGTTCTGATTGGTTGCCCTTTTATTGTGCTTCATTTTAAAAGCAGTCCAGGCTGAAACATTGAAAATTCACCATTAGTTGGTGGGGCTGAAAAGATTAATAAATGTTAATGCAGTGGTTTTCTTGACATTAAAAAAATTAGAAACACATGGTTTCTTCAGTTTATTGGACAGGGTGAACTGTACATTTTGAGACTTTAACAATGTTTATATACTACTACGCTAAACTCTTTTATTTAAAAAAAGTGAATTCCATGAGAATGGTCTCTTTATGAATCAGAGTCTTCTGATAATATTGTTAATTTACAATATTAACCTTTCTTCACCCTCACAGCTCTCTGGAATTGCTACGTTCACTAATGGCACAGTGGCAGAGAATGACATTCAGCTTAGAATAAAAGTGAAAGATCAGAATGACAATGCACCCATCTTTCCTGCCACCATCTCCCCAGGCTTTGTGAAAGAACTCAGCGCTACAGGCAAGTCCCTAACTCATTACCCTCTCAATAATATTGCCAACATACAACATACCTTGGTATTGCGAAAGATATTTATTGGAAATTTAAGGGGATGACAAGATGAGTGTTGGTGAGATGACACTGATAAAATTCAGTATCATAGTATTTTATAAATATATACTTACATATTGTATAGTTCATCATCTTGGAAACAGGGACACTGCTATTAAATGGAATAGAGTATTGGTTGTTGTACATAGTTGTAGTACTTGTTATCTATCACTACTACTAAAACTAAATATTTATATTTTTGTGTGACACCGATACCGAAATAACAGTGGGTGATATATTGCCCAGCGCTAGGTGAGAGTATGGTATGTTCATGTATACGCATAGCCATTGTTAGTAATGCTAATGACTCTGTCTTTAAATTCTCTAGATACCGTTGTAATGAAGGTAGTAGCCACTGATGCTGATGAACCTGGGAACCCCAACTCTCAGATCCGCTATGACATCATAAAACAGGACCCTCCAGGGAGGATGATGTTCAAGATCAATTCCAAAGGAGAAGTGCTGGTTAGTGATCCTAACCTAGACAGAGAGGTAAGGAATCATACACCACGCAAATCATGAAAGACAGTGGCCTTTCACCTTTTCACCATAGCTGCTTTTAGTTTTTTAGTGCAGCTTTGTGAAAGATCCCAGCATGTCCTTAATTTTAATTTAATGTCTCATTTGAATTAGAACAAAATGATAATTAGTGCAATTACTATTGTTCGTGTAGCTTGTGATATATATATATATATATATTTATTTGTAATAAAGTTTACAAAACCTGCAGTTTAACAAGTGGTAATTCAGCAAACTATGTATTAATTAAGTGGATATATTTTACTCATAAGTCAAAGCAGTGTCTCATTAAAATGCCCATCTCTGTGCAGAGTATTGATCACTACACGCTTACTGTAAAAGCTTCAGATCTCAATGGGGCCTCAGGGTGCCTCACAGGAACAGCATCTTTCGGAGTCCAGATCCTGGACGAAAATGATAATATCCCAACACTAGAGAAAGAAACTGTAAGTTTTTATTACTGTTTTATCACTGTTTACTGTGAATGTTGATTGTGCTCTTCCAGTGTTATGAAATTAGCTCGTGGTTCTTTTGGATGCAGAAATATAGGTTAATGAGACTATTAATGAGACTGTTATTGTACTCTAAAGAGACTTATTTCTCTCCTTGTCTGCAGTATGAGGGCAGTATTGAGGAGAACACAGATGGCGTGGAGGTGATGAGAATCAAAGCGAATGATCTGGACATGGAGGGCACCGACAACTGGTTGACCAAGTTCGACATCGTGTCAGGCAATGAAGGGGGGACATTTCAGCATTTACACTGATCCAGACACCAACGAGGGAGTCTTGATGCTCGACAAGGTTGACATATTTTTTTCCACATGCCATAACAGATTAGTCCAAAATGTTACATTATGTACATACTAAAAAATAAGTACTTTTACTGTTGTATTATTTGTAATAATTTTATTAGTTGAATAAATTAACTAAACTAATTCAGAACAGTCAGTCAGGCAAAGCTATCCAGCCGTCAGCAGTCCTGTGGTCAGGATGAAGGGCTAGAAGATGGCAAAACTGATAACAATGTCAAACACACTGCAAGAAACATGCAGTCTGAAAGCAATATCCATGCTTTTTCAACCAAAAAAATAAAACCGACATTAATATGTCATATTTGAGTTTCTGCGCTGTTGTGCGGTTCAAGTGGTACTGATATGGCGTTGTTGGGGTCTTTGAAAGGCATTAAAGTATAGAATTTTTTATTTTTTTTTACTGTGCAGCAACTCTGTAATTAACTACATTACGAACGTCTCTTTGCTTTGATCTTTTATTACATCAAACAGTATTGCAGCATCTGTAGTAGGATGTGCAGATGAAGTGACGCGTGTCCTCTGCTTTCAGGCTGTGGATTATGAGGAGGTCAAAGACATGAATCTGGGCATTGCAGTGTCCAACGTGGCTCCTTACCATCCTTCAGTGACAGGAAGTGCAGGGACAATCGGACTCGTGATCCCAGGAGCAGGCACAGGAGGTGGAGGAGGCACAGGAGCTGGAACTGGTGCTGGTACTGGTGCTGGTAGTGGTAGTGGTAGTGGTACTGGTAGTGGTAGTGGTACTGGTAGTGGAGGAGGAAGTTTAGGATCAAGTGGGACCAGTGGAGGGTCTACTGTACTAAGACCAGGAAGCCCAGGTAGCCTTGGAAATGGTAAAGTCTACAGTGTGAACATCAACGTAAAGAACCAGCCTGAGGGCCCACGCTTCAGCCCCAAAGTAAAGGCAGTCCCCCTTTCTGAAGACGGCAAGACGGTTGATATAAAAAAAGTCATTGCTAACTACCCTGCTCTCGATGGGGATACAGGGCTACCTTCTAAGAACGTCAGGTTAGTGTGCATTTATATTTTCTTTCCACAATTTGAAGAATGACTAGTTCATGCGAGATTTATATACGAAACAAATACAGAGTTTTTCCCTTTTTTTCAGATATGCCAAAGGCTCTGACCCAGACAACTGGCTGACCATTGATGAGAAAACAGCTGATATTAGACTAAACAAACTTCCAGATCGGGAATCCCCATACTTGGTCAATGGGACGTACATAGCCAATATCCTTTGCATCAGTCAAGGTAAGTAAGCCCTTTGTGTACAGTAATAAGGCAAAAAAAGTTTCTTAGTTATTTTAGTTTTAGCCTTTTGTGTCTTTAAATATATACAGATATGCTTTATCCATTTATTTTTTTAGTTTTTAGGTAGGATTTACAAAGGGCAGAGAATATAGAACTGATAATGTGATGTAAAATATGTTTAGTCTCTCTTGCTACATTGAAAACTGTAGCAGTGCAGCTATATACTCACTAGGGGGAGGTATAGGTCTTTAGCTTACTTTATCTACCTACTAAGTTTTGTTGGTTATTGCACTGATACAACCTGTCCTGTAGGGGGCACCATGAAATAACGTTAACAGCATGGTGTATCAGTGCCATAACCAACAAAACCTAGTAGGTAGATAAAGTAAGCTAAAGACCTATACCTCCCCCTAGTGAGTATATAGCAGCACTGCTACAGTTTTGTTGGTTATTGCACTGATACAACCTGTCCTGTAGGGGGCACCATGAATTAACATTAACAGCATGGTGTATCAGTGAAAATGATATTCTTTATTTGATTAAATGCTTACAGAAGTGATTTACATACAAATCAGACAAGCTGTCTAAATAGAATGTGTATCCACTTTCTCACAGTCTACATTGTATTTGGAGATTTAAAAAAGACTTCTGTTATGCAATGCTGTTGTATAATCACTAGGGGGAGCCTACTTGCACTGCTGAACTGTTAATAATACTGGCAACAGGTTACTGCAGGAATTACTACATTACTTGTTCTGAAGGGAGCGCAATTTATCACCAGTACAGCAACATACAGATTAATGGCAATAAAGATATTAGATAATAATGTCTTTGCGCTTTGATTAAACAGTTTGTCATTTTGATCCATTATAAATGTGTGGAAACCACTTTCAGAATCATTCAGCCAAACTTAGTGAAGCTGAAAATGTATCTCTTTTTTACAGACGCCCCCTATACGACAGCTACAGGCACCATTGCCATCCAGGTGGAGGACTTTAATGACCACTGCCCTACTCTGACGAGCCAGGCACAGACCATGTGCACCAACCAGGAAGCTATATATGTCACTGCGGTAGACGAAGATGCTCCTCCCAATGGAGCTCCTTTCACTTTCAGTGTAGTTCCTGAAAAGACCAAGGGAAAATGGAGCGTGGAGCACTTAAATGGTATGTAGCGATAGTTGTTTGACCTAGAGTTATAGTGTAGTGTAAGCAAAAATTACTGCAGAGGACTTTAGCCAATGAAAAACAAATGATAGCTTGTATTTAGCAGTCCTCAATATCAGCTATCCCTCATTTTTACATTGATGTTACTGTTTTCAATGTTATTTTAGAGACAACGGCCATCTTGAGAACTCTTGAAAGTCTGTGGCCGGGTGTTCAGGAAGTGACAGTGGAGGTGCGTGACCAGCAGGGGGAGGCATGTCCAGAGCCGCAGGTGCTAAAATTGGATGTATGCACCTGTGATCATCATAGTCTGTGTGGTGCCCGTGGGGCTCAACAGAAGGGCTCAGTGCTTGGCAAAGCTGGAATTGGTCTGCTTCTCCTGGGACTCCTTCTGCTCTTACGTGAGTTCAGTGTTGTGTCTGTTTCCTCTCAGTGGTCTAAGCTTTATTTATATTTATAGATGTTAGAGGATCTGAGGCAATATTGCTTGATGATTTCTGTGTGATAGAGTTGTTGTTTGGCCTAAATGTAGTGATGTGACGGTAGTTGACATTGATACCGGAACCCTTGAGTATGGACACTTGTATTTACTTTAAAAACTGTATACCGACGTATTTCCATGGAGCAAATAAACAATAACGTAGACACTGATTACCATGTTTTACCATCAGCTAATAAATTCATTTCTCTCCACAGTTATCCCACTTTTGCTGCTTTTCTGTCAATGTGGCGCAGCCGCTATGGGAGGAGCCTTCGCTGACATGCCCTTTGACACCAAAGAGCACTTGATCGCCTACCATACAGAAGGGCAGGGAGAAGACCGGGTAAAGCCAGAACCTATAACTTTATCTTCCATTCTGTTCTGTTAATCTTAGTTATGTGATATATGATCAATATAATAGGAGTGTGTTTGAGTTGTCAAATACACAGTTAACCATGGAGGGCCAGTGTTCAGATACTGTAATGACTATTCAAGTATTGTACATGCAGATTTTATCACAAGATATCAGAGAGAAAAGTCACCAATAGCTTAAAAATGTCAGGTTATTTTGACATGGAAAGCATCATTGATGTTGCATGCAAGATAGTGCCCAAAATTCCTACTACAAAAACACAAAAAATCTGATTTTTGAAAATGATTCTAAAAGTACCAGCGGTGGACATGCTGTTCATGAGCTTTAAAAAAAGGGAGAGTTAATGAATAATGTCTTTAGCAAGAGTATCATGTCCTCTCCTGAAAACCCCTAACTACTATCATGTATTGTACCCAACAACAGCAATGTGAAACAGTTAGCTACAGAATTAGTTTGAAATATATTGAATGCTAATTCATACCACTGAATAATATACAACATACTGATGGGTGAAGAAACTTTAATTGCAATGGAAAAGTTAGTTTTCAATTTATGAAACCTTGATCACAACCAAAGATGGTCACTGAAGAATTTTCATGGTTACCTGAACAGCATTTAAACCCCTTCAAACATTTGAAAGTCAAAATTCTCCTATTATGCTGTACATCTATGTTATGTTTAACATCTCAAGTCATGTGCAGTGCAAAAAATGCTTAAGCACTCATGTAGTCCCTTATTCTGACTGCCTTTGGTTATTCCTTTGACAGGATGTACCCATGCACCTCAGTGCACCAGAGGTTGATGGTGGATTGGTCAACATAGCCTCTAAAGGCAGCTATGGGGCTGGTGCTTTTGGGGCTGGTATGGCAGGAGCAGGAGCTGGTTACTTGGCGTCTACCTTAACAAGAGGGGGTGGCTATGGGCACAATCAGATGGAGATGACCTCCATGGAGCAGAGGATGAATTCTGGTCTTGGAATGATGAGAGAGGAATTTGACGATGATGGAATGGCTCTTTCAGAAGATTTCTTGAATCAGTACTACTCACATGTAAGTAGATATGAATTAGGAGGCAACCACAATGCAGTGATCAGAGATTGGCAGGAGAGCGAACTCCACATTTAGAGGGTTCCTGGCACAGTTTTGCCTTCCTTTACATGCAGCTCATCAATAATAATTCAACTGTATTAGAACACAGTAACACTTTATTTAAAGGTTAGGCTACCTACATAGGGACTTAAACATGCATTGAAGAATACATTTATAAAGCAATACCTGAATATTTACACACACCATCATTCCCGAATAATGGCAGAGACCTAGTTAAGAACACAATATACTAGTTCTGTGGAAGATTTTGATGCCCTTGAATTGAAGTGAATTTTATACACATTTCCACGAATACTGCAGTTAGGTAAAAGTATAAATATCTTTCATAAAATATTACTTGAGTGAAAGTTAAAGATCTAGTTCTGTATTTCTGTGTGAGCACAAAAGTATGAAACTGTAAAGTGTAAATTATTACAGTTGTATCATTGTGAGTAACAGTTTCTATTATGGAGAGTGTGCTGCACACATGGCAAACAGAGTTAGGTATCCTTAGGAGAAATTGTGCTTTTGTACCTTAACTCATGAAATATATAGAACTAATGATGTTGATAGCAAGGCCTCTGCCTAGAAGTTTTGTTGGGAATCACAGTGTTAGGCAATTTATGTTTAAGGGCTTTTATATCAATAGAAAATCATTCACTTAATCATTTTTATGTCACTTTACGACTACTGCCATAAGCTGTCCATAAATACTCAAGTAGTGCTTTATAAATTTGTTTTTCACTGCTTATGTATGTGTTATGAAGTCCCTGTCAAGCCTAGCTTTCAAATATTTAAATATATAAGTTATCAAAACACCTAATTCTGCTGTGCTGTGCCCTTCTCCACTGCAGTCCTTTATAGCTCTTAATACAGTAAAGTACATGAAATGCTGTAAATTCACAATCAGAGGTTAGGTTACATATAGTAACATAAAATATAAAGTGCTTTAATCCCTTAAAGATTTAGGATTAGTAATTTAACAGTAAGCTTTGGGATCCAGGGCTCAACATGCATGTATCTTTCCCCTTTCTGCAGAAGAGTCAGGAGCTGGATGTCACGGCCAAAAACTCTCTGCTGGTATATGACTATGAAGGTCAGGGGTCACCAGTTGGTTCAGTTGGCTGCTGCAGTCTCCTTGAATCGAACAACGATCTGGAGTTCCTCAACGACCTCGGGCCCAAGTTCACCACTCTCGCTGAGATATGTGGAGGCACAAAGTTCACAACAGAGGTCTCAGCCCCTCCTCCCTCTATTCCGAAACCCATCGTGGAACGCTCAGAACCAGTCTCCATAGAAACCAACCTAGTCAACACTGTAAACGTTCCTGCTAGGCCTGCACCATCTTCATCTATACACGTGGAGGAGAATGTGATGGTTACAAACAGCCATGCCTCAGTAGTGGCTGACAGGAAGCCCGCCCAGACTCTGATCGACGTGAAGCCCACCCAGACTTTGATTGATGTCCAGCCAGCTCAGACTCTGATGATGCAGCAGCAGCCTCTGTACTATGTGGTGGAGCCGCAGGTTTCCAGCACCGTGCTGTTGGCCGAGAGGCCCACTGTTGGATTGGGACAGAGCATGTACATGCTGAACAGTGCTCCAGTGGCTGAGAGAGTTCTAGTCCAGGGCACTGTTCCTGCACAAGGCACGATAGGCAGGGGTGACAGAGTGATGCTGCTGGAGACGGGTGGAGGATCCACCCAGGCACTGAACACAGGCCTGCTGCAGTCGGCTAACCTGTCCGGTTCGCAGCTACTGCTGGTGGAGAGGGGAGCACAGGGTGGGCAGGTCCTCCAGGGGACACTGCAGAGAGGCGGAATTGCTGGCTCTCAAGGCCTAATGGTAGTGGAAGGGCAGTCAGGCCCCGTGATGCATGGATCCCTCCAAAGAGGTGTTGCCACAGGTGGTTCTCAGAACGTGCTGTATATGGAGGCGCAGGGCGGGCCATCAGGAGTTGTTCATGGATCACTGCAGAGGGGCATGACCTCCAGTGCAGGGTTACAAAGCGGGACTGTGGGATTGAATGGAAGCTCCATCCAAATAAGCAGAGTTCCAACCTCCTCACAGAAAGTGGTCATCCAAGAGAAGAAAGTTGTGTCAACTCAAAAAAGCCCTCTGTAAAGATGCATGGATAACATCTGACCAAACTGAATGTAGTAAGCAGTAAAACCCCCATTGCATTAACTACATTTTGACGTGGAAAGGTTTTCAACTTTCTTTTATCTTCATTACACTATGCACATTGTATACTTGTCTTTGAACGCAAGTAACATATAACACTTTTTTAGCTTTATTTGAAAGGATGTTTTTTTTTCTTTTTTTTAAGGTTTTAAGGTGTGAACTTCAGTAGTGTACATCAATATGGAATTGAGTGTCACATTGCAAAGAACAGGCCCTTTTGAATCTTTACCATTAGTCGTTTGCCACCACTTTTAAAATATACACGGATCAGCTTCCATCAGTAGCTTCATAGGTGCTCATGTCCATATCCTGTATTGAAATCCAAATGAAATGCATCCACAGTAATACTAGTGTTTTCAGCTGAAGTTCTGGAAAATTGAGATAGAAAAAGCAGCTGTGTGAAGTCAGTATTTGAATTAATTTAAATTATTAATTATTTGACTTCCAAAATTAGCAGTAGCATCAAAAGCACATTGGATAATGTAGCAGAGTGTGTAAGCCTGGGCCCGTAGATAAAGCAGTGGACACAAAAAATTATTTGAATATATCAGTTTTTGGATCAAGGCTTTCAAAATTATAACAAAACATTTATTAGAAGGAATATGATGTCATTTTTTGTATCTACAAGAATCTGTTCAGTGTATTAATATTTGTTTTATATAATTTGTTATGGTACAAATTCATTTTTAACAGAATAGTCAATTTTACCACTCAGTGCTAAAAAAAATGATTCAATGCCTCTTTGAACCCCTTTCTTAAAATCGTGTCAGAATAAAAGTTGTTATTGTTGTTTGTGCCACGTCTGTATAACAGACAGAAGATTTCAATTAGTTGAATACTTTTAAAGTTGCTCTATTTTGCCTCATTATTTTATTATTTCACATGTTTCAAACATAAAATTATGCCAAACTATTTTATGTAGAAATTTATATGACTAAATTACCCTTTTTAATATCTAACTTAGTACCTGCATATAACGTTGGATGGTTTTACCACCTGAGCTTTTTAGACTTTGGGAAACTTAAATGCCTAAATAAAATTTTATTTTGATGTACTAAAAATGTATTCATGCACAAGACGTTTTGTAGAAAAATGTGATACATATGTAGGTCATTTATTAAACTATTTAATAGGAGAATAATGGACATTGGCATAGGTGGCATATCAGTATCTATATTGGCCTGATATCAGCAGAAGATACTAGATTAGTTGTTGGAGGGAAAGTAAGAATGAATCTGATCCATTAATGAAGCTAATGACAAATGGTTTGAGATTCAACTGGGCCTTTTATTAAATAGACAATTCTAAAACTGAGTTCTGAAGGCGATTCTTAAGCTATTGTTCAGTGTTTTTTTTTTTTTTTACAGTGACTACCTTTCAGTCTGTCCCCATCAGTGAGCTTTAACTTTTATCCACTGCTTTCATAATCTTGACAAGTTTGTTTCTCTATTCTTGTAGTTTGGGCACTCAATGTTTTACATAATGTCTTGGTTCTCAGAATAACTCTTAAACTACTGCCAGCTGGTATTATTAATTGTATTTTTATTAAGATTTCATTACTTAAGATTGTAGATCTTTTTTCATCTGCTGAGTGAATATTTTGAACTTCTTTGTACTCTTTGCGCTTTGCACTGTAGTGAGCTCAGAACCTGAATATCTGGATCTCAACGGCTGAAGTTATTTACACATCACACTACTGACACTAAAGGTCGAACAATGCTAAAAACTGAATTCAACATCAAGCTTAAACGCTGGGCTAATGTTACATGGTTTTTAGGGGATTACTTGCGCTTTTGGAGAAAAGAATTATGTATATTTGCTGTACAACTGGACCTTCTTAAAGGCGTAACTCTTTTTTAAGCACCTATATTAACTTGGACCTAAGGTACTTCTTGTTTTTGTTTGCGCAGAATTTCAAAGAGTACAACAGCAAAAATGTTTTCTAATGTAAGAGCTTGAATGTACTCTGATATAAACTGCCATTTTTCTACTCGAGGGCCAAAAGTTAATGTCTGTATTTGTTTTTATTTGTGGGTATGTAGAATGTAGATAATGTTTTGTTGTGTTTATTATACACTGGAATACCAAATAAACAATAAGTAAATAAAACATCTTGTCGAGAAAGAATGAAGTCACTGAAATCGGAGATGGCATAACCATACAAATCCTTCTTAAAGTATCTTAGTAACATTTTGTAATTTAAAATTGTTATCTGTATATTTCTACCTGTAGAGTAGTGGAGTAGTTTGATCATGATTTAGATTCTCATCTTAAGTGAAGTGCTTCAATTAAAAATAGCTCATTTTGAAGTTTAGTAGTTTTAAAACATGTCTTCCTTTCCAGAGATTAGATGTTAAAGTTGTTGTTTGTTGTCAACAGTACTTATTATTATAGTTTTATTTTAGAGCTATAATATATAAATGTAGTTTGTGTTAGTTGTGGTAATTGTGTGCATGCTTTGCATTGCTGTGCTTTCAGTCACCATGTAATTAAGTGCATTCCAGGCAACAGCCTGTCAGTTCTTAAAGGTGTAGATGGTAGGTAATTTTTTAAAAGACTAAAAGCTTGTAGTAAATAGTTCATAGTCCATAAATCAGAGTATTTGGCCAATATTAAACAATCCTTGAGGTTTATGTTTAATAGTTACACCTGTGTAAACACTGTGAAAACACGGAAGACTGAAACGAGCTGAAATAAGGGTTATAGGCAAATAGCCAGTGTGTCCTGTGCCCTACTAGAAATTTGATCAGTCTTGCATAACAAGCCCTTTGACTTTAGCAGTGGATCAGTGCTGCTTCCACAGTAATCCACCTCACTTCACCACTACCTCACAAACATCTGATAATAAATTTATACTACAAACCCCCATGCCAAATACGTTGGGACAGTTTGTGAAATGATAATAAAAACAAAATGTTTTATAAATTCTGTCTGACCTGTATTTAATAGAAAACAATGCCAAACACAATATTCGATGTTTTATCTTAAAAAACTTCATTGTTTTTTTGTAAATATATGCTAATTCCAAATATGATACTTGCAAAATAATAGAGACAGGAGCATGTTTACTACCGTATAACATCACCTTTCCTTTTAACAACATTTAATACTTGTTTTGCGACTGAAGATGCTAATTAATCCAGTTTTGAATATGGCATTATATGCTGTTCGTCTGTTGTATGCATTGTATTTTACACTCATAATGCGCCACACATTTTCAGCAGTAACAATCTCGATGGCCCTTTTCTTCTTTGGCCGACAACATCCATTATTTCCACAGACAATCTGAAAGGTCAATCTGTCAGACCACAAAGCATGTTTCCACTGTAAATCAAGCCATTTCAGATGAGCTCAGGCCCAGAGAAGTCGGCAGCATTTCCATACATTGTGGCATATTGCTTCCACTGTGCATAGTACAGTGTTAATTTGCATTTGTAGATACAGCAACAAACAGTCTTTACTGACAATGGTTTGCCAAAGTATTGCCGAGCTTGTGTGGTGATATAGTACAGGGCTATCTGAGGGGTCAAAAGTCACCAGTGTGTAGTTAAGGTTTTTGGCCTTGCGATTTTTCTGGATTCCTTGAATCTTTGAAGGTATTATGCACTGTAGAGGGTGAAATACGTAAAATCCTTGCAATTGCTCATTGAGGCACATTGTTCTTAAGCAACTGGACCATTAGCTGATGGTTTTTTTGCAAAGTGACGAGCCTCGACCCATCCTTGCTCATAAAGAATGAGGCCTTTCCTGGATGTTTCCTATTTGTACCCAAGCATGACTACATCACCTGTGAAAGATATTATTTGAACATTTAACAAAGGTCTTGGTCTTAAATTGCCCCTGTCCCAACATTTTTGCAGGCATCAATTTCAGAATGAATAAATATTCACCAAAAATCCACCAAAATTGAAATGGAAGTGAAACTCATGGTGACACAGAAAACCTTTGGTACCTCGGCTACAGACCAAACAGCCTTTTTCTGAGAGAGCATTATCTTTATTCAGCCTTGTTCACGAATTGATCAATTTCTGTCTTTAATCTCTTGAGAAGATATTCGCTCCGGTATTTTGCGTGTGTTGAAACTGAGGACTGCCACAGAACACGTATTTTGCATCTACTCCTTCGTGAACGTTTTCATAAACCTGAAACAGGTTTATCTGGATTCTTTTAGCTCCAGGCATTTAAACTCACATACACACCTCTAACACTAAAGAAGGCCTAACCAAAAAAAAGATGTCTGATTTGGTCTGCTAGAAAGTTCCCTAACCTCCCCCACACCCTCACTCAGTTGTTACTCCTTCAAGATTTTATTTTTACATATGTTTAGTAACAAAACGTTAAATATAAATCTGAAAAACAAACTACAACACTTGACACCATGCATTAGTCGATGACTGCACTTTCACTGAACCAAAGGAAAAGATACAGGCCTAACATTCATTATAGAAAACTATGAATAAATATAATGCATTCATAACTCAATTTGAAATCTCCCATCTACACTGTGAAAACTGGCACCAGAGTTCCATAACTCACATATAGTTTTGTTTAGTTCCATTAAAACTCACATTTTTTAAGGCTGCAATCGAATTAAAGCTGAGGTTACTACAAAGGTTATTTTAAGGCCATTACAGTTAGGAGTCGGGAGGCTCACCACATCCTTTTTTGCCCCCTAAGACAAAACTTTTCAGCATCCCTTTTAAGTAAATGTTTAAAATGCTACACTCTAAATGCTAAACATACTATATACAATCACATGCAACAGCTTGAACAATCCCCAGTTAAATGAATAATAATAATAATAATAATAATAATAACTTCATTTCTAGGGCTCTTTTCATACTGATGGCAGCTCAAAGTGCTTTATAGACAGGTAATAACATTTAATAGTAATGACATCAAATTTAAATGATAAATATTACGTTTTGTTGATTTTCAAAGTAAAAATAAAGACTCCTTTAAAGAGAACACATGTAAATATGGCATTTTGTCCTACAAAATTAAAATATATAATGTACCATAACTTTTGCATAGGCCACATTTGTCATGTTGCCTTATTATTGCTTCAAAGATGTCCAGGATGTTTAGAAAACTTGGTGGAAGTTGTTTTTCATAGAACTTGCCAGTATGTTTAACACCAGTGACATGTGCAAACCTGCCATTTCTATGCCTAATTTTTAACATATTAAATTTCTGCATTTCTGTCAGAGATGTCTTGGGAGAGGCGTGCTAGATCTGGGCCTAAAAAGGTTTGTTGGAGTGATGCCATAGAAGAGCTACGTTTGGTTCTCTGAGGGACATTTTAATGGATGGTTCATCAAAGGATTTTTTTTTTTTTTCTCCTTCTGTTCTGGGAACAGGTTGCTTATCATGGACAAGAATTTAGGTATTTTTGCCTGAACTCATCAAGAGAACATGTTGACTCAAAACACACAGCCCAATGGCTTCTATTATAAAAAGTTTTGAGTCAATTTGTTTAGTACAGTGCCAGAGAATAGGTGGAAAAAACGTATTCCATTAAAGATCCATCCATGAAAAGGTACCAAACTTAGTCCTTCTACTGCACCACTCCGTTTTAAGAGTGTATTTAGTCACTGTGAGAACAAAATGTGTGCAAATCATATCAGGTTTGGAACACAGTGCATGATAACTCATTTAACTCATTTCAAGAATTTACAGTAGCTACTTTAGAATGTGGTTCAGCTTCAACTCAGATAAACCTGACATTCATCAAAATGAAAGCAGTCAGATGGAAGTGTGACGTGCACATGGTATTCAGATATCATACCGATTTAAAGTCAACCTGAATCTCTGAGCTGACTGAGAGTTTCGATGAAAGGTGGTGTGAGTAGGATGTGAAACATGATACTACTAGATCATTTTATTTTTTCCCAGAAGACCTTTTAGAGGCAGGCAAACATCATTACATTTCACAAATGAAGATTATGGGGAAAGAAAGTATTTTGTTAATATGATGAACTAACAACAAAAAAGGGTCAGCTTTGATATCAGGTTGACTTTAAAGGATCTTCATAACTTAATTTATGAACATGCACACCTGCCAAACACAATTAATCATTAACTGAAATAATCATAGTGTTTCTGACTCACTGTTTACTTGAAGCAAAGCTGTTGACATCCACATCTGAGGCTATTCTTTACATATACACATAGAAGACAATGCAAAATGATCAGGTGAAGAAGGAGTTATTGCAGAGTTATAGGAATGTGTAATAAAAGTCTGCTGGCTGCTCTGTGAATGTTACATTTTTTGATCAAATGTTTATTAACAAACCATTCATGTTACAGGTCGAGACAGAACCAAAACGATACAAGTACAAACAAAACAGAGACAAATAACCAAACAAATAAACAACAAATCTATACATAACCAGTATATAATATGCTTGAAAACACTAAATTCCACATTCCAGAAAAAGGGAAGGAGTAGAAGGAAAAAGAAGACAAATATACACACATAACAAGGGGTCTGAGTTATCTAGGACAAGCATTAAGAGAGGTAACAGGTTTATAGAAAGCTTTTAAAAGCATTGGTAGCACTATATCAGTGATTGATAGTGACTTCATTAGCACCATTAATTTGAGCTGTTGAGAGTTCCATATAAATTACGTCTAAACAGAAAACATCCAGAGCCTCAAGGACAGAGAATGAGGTGGCTTCCAGCGAACTGTGATCATTATCTTAGCAGCAGTAAAACCAGCTAAAACAACGTGACCTGTTTTTTTTTTTATTTAGAAATGTTAAACATTGAAAGATCATTTAAAATCAGGGTATGGTTGCAGGCACTGATTCAGATATCAAGTCTGATGAATTAGACGCTACCCTTTTCCAAAATTCAGCAACAGGTGGACATTCCCAAATAATATGGATAAAAGTGCCGTGGTCTAAGTAACGAATAGAGCTAACAAATTTAATTCTGGGCAAAATATTCATTTTTATGATGCCTGACAAGAAATGGGGAGACTAATCTATCTGTACAAATCATCATGTACCTTATCAAAACTAATGAATAATTGTGTTTTACAATATGATTGGGGGAAGATTTCAGTTCCTAGATACTTAAAGTGTTGTACAGTGAGAACATTGGCAGGTATAGAAGATTTGGCAGATTTATTTAAAGGTAAAAAGGCAGATTTTGACCAATAAATTTTAAAATCAGAAAGGCATCCAAACATCCTCACTAATGGATAAAAGATGAGGTATAGACTCTGCAGGCCTTTCCAAAAATGCTAACACATCATCAGCTTATAAGGTTAAGTGGTGATGTGTATTATGAAAAGAGACAGGTAAAACCTTGGTGGACTGGTAAATCAGCTAAGGGCTCGAGAGAGCACAAAGAGCCCTGGACTCAACAGGCAGCCCTGATGGGAAGACCTAGAGACTGGAAACAGAGAGGAGTAGATCTGGCTTTTGGCTTGTTAACTAGTGCAGAGGGATTGGCATACAGGACTTTGAATCATAAGAATAAAATCTTACGTAAAATCTTAAATAAAGACAGACCACAAAAACAACCATTCAAATCTGCCAAAGGCTTTCATGGCATCACATTAAATTACTGCTACTGAAGCCTTAATACTCTTTAATAATAAAAAGTATATTTAAGAAAATTGTGTGCTCATTTGACTGGCTTAAATGCAAAGTGCCAGTTTGCAGCATGAGTTACAAAATACAAATTATAATTTTTAAAAATGCCGGGGGTGTTACTGTTTGCATTTTGTTGCCACAGGGCAACAGCATGTAACAATGGAACTACAATCTGCAGTTTATAAAATTGTAACTCCATAGGACATACCATTAAACCTATTACTACTACTACTACTACTACTAATAATAATAATAATACTAATAATACTAATAATAATAATAATAACGTATATTTTATTTGTACAGTGCCTTCCTCATTCTTAAGAACGCTTTACAAAGAAACACAATATGTAAACAGCATGTAAACAAAACTTTTAAAAGACACACGCAGCTCTACTGACTCAATAGCAAGGCTGTGAAATCTGTGATAATCACTTATGACTTTTACCTATGAAAAATAAATCATAACAACCATAATGTTTTAAAATACAGAACATTATGAAAGTAATTACACTGATAAAAAAATCATCTTGCACTGTAAAAAAACATCAGCAGTGTCCAGTGAAAATGTATGGATTTCTTCCCACAATATGCACTGGAGATTGCAGTTCAATTGCCACATGCTGTTGCCATGTGGCAACAAATGTATTTTAGCATTTTATATAAAACCTATAACGTCTAAACTGGTTTAATTTCTGATAAGGGCATTGTAATTTCCCTTAGACTGCGTCATACATCTTTTCCTGGAGCTGTTGTGCACTGAATTTTGAAATATTTGTATACACTCTGACACTCTGAGAGAACTTCAGAATGAAAACCTTAATATGTAAAAAATTAAAAAAAGCTTGTGAAAAAAGAAGTACAGATTACATCAGTAAAGCATGTGATCAAATAAAAAGTCTGCAACATTACAAGCGAAGCTTTCAGTATCTCAAAAAAAAAAAAAATGAGGAGTTCCAGAGAAAGCAATGAAAATATCTTTAAAGACTTACAGCGAAATGAAAACACACACACACACACACACACACACACACACACGCAAACACCTGGGCATGCACTCCCACATGATCAGATGGCCACTCCTCAAGCAGGTACGGCCAAAAGCCATAGTCTGGATGCTACCTGGGGAGCATATATGGTTCTCTCTTGGATTCTCTGCGCTTACCTCGATGCAGAATGAAGACCCTCTCTTCACTGAGTCAGGCTCTGCTGCTCTTCCTTGCTGTAAAGGTGAGTCTGAAGACAACTCGAGAATTCTATGTCAGGATTTCAGGCTCATAAAAGTAAAAACTCTTAATGCTGGCAGCACTGCAAGGTTGGGAATAAGTGTTCAATCATCTGCATCCTTTTTCCTGGTAAGAGCTACATAATCAGCTTTTTTACAGCAGCAGCAGAAGCTGAAGTGTCTTATTTCTGAATACAAGTTAACAGACAAAGAGAGCGAACGCATAATACATTGTTGTCTTCATTTCTTCAAAGACATCCTGGAAGTTTAGACACTCAAGAGGGAAATTTCTCGCCATGAATTAAGTTGTTTTACAGAGAACTTGCCAGTATGTTCACCAGTGGCCATACAAACCTGCCATTTCAATGCCTAATTTCTAACATTAATTTCTGCGTTTCTGTCAGAGATGTCTTAAGAGAGCTGTGCTAGATCTGGGCTCAAAGAGCTACTTTTGGTTCTCTAATGGACATTTAAAGGATGGTTCATTAAAAGATTACTTTTTCAACGTTTTCTCTTTCTGCCAGATCTGTAACATAATGTTGCGTACCATGGACAAAAATGTAGGCGCTTTTGCCCATACTTAGTAAGAACAGACTCAAATCACACTGTTGACTCTAAACACGCTGTCCACTGGCTTCTATTATGAGCATGTTTTAAATTAACAAGTGTATTGTGTTTCTGAGTATGGTGAAAAATGTCTAAATTATTGTCCATGATTAGTGACCATTTGATAGAAAATAGGTATTCCATTAAAGAACCATCCATTAAAAGGTTCTTCAGGTAACCATAAATGATGGTTCTTCTACTGCACTACTCCATTTTAAGAGCGTATTTCATCATTATTGGAACAAAAACCTGTATCAATGTATATGCAATGTAATATATGTAGCGTATGCATATAAGTAGCATTATTCATACTTCTAAATAGCCTTGTAATTCAAAGTAAGATAAATTATGTAAGGATGTATGTGGAATAAATCATATCGGGTTTGGAACATTTGTCCCCACCACAGTGTCTGATAGGGGTGATTTTTGAAAACAGTGTTCATTTATGGCATAGACAAAAGCAGCTTAGAGCCGGAGTGGCTTATTTGTGAAAGAAGCCGAATACAAACTGGCACGCTATTATCTATTTGACAAATGCCACATTTGTAGCTTTGTGGTATGTAGCTTTTTCAGTTCATAAACAATTATTATCCTTACCATAAACCATTCGGTTATTTCACATTCTGTGTATCAATTCTCCAAATATGACACCCTGATCGTACTCTTAGAGTTTAGGGATATATATATATATATATATGTGTATGTTATAAGTATGTTATATTATGTTATATTTATTAGCATAGTAAATTATATTATATATATTCTTTTATACTTAAAATACTTATTACAACAAATTCTAAAGGATTAAAGGATTTCTATTCATCACCAAACTTCCATACAGAGTAAGGAGCAGTTGTAGGTTTCAACAACTAGAATAGAGATACAAGGTTTTTTCCAACAGTGACTATTTGCATGCGCATTTGGATTATTGTCTAAATTCAAATGTTTTTAAAACAACAACAATGATAATGATAATAATCCAACATCATAATGTTGTTTAAATAGGGCAGTGATCAAATATTGAACTGCAAGATGTCTATATTTTATAACTGGCAGTTATAGTTGCAGACACAAGTCAGATTTTGTACTATACTATATATATTTCTACTGATTATGGATAGCGATACTGATTATTTCGCATTGTTGCTTTGCATTGTTGAATGTATCGATAAAAAACGTATGTGCTCAGATATTTGTGCAGACAAATCCAGGAATGGTCACCATTATTAGCAGTTCAGGTTCAGAAACACTCAGTTAGATTCAGATTAGATACCAGAGAAAAGGCAGGTGAGATCAAAACCTAAAAAAAAGACAAGGAACACGGAAACTAGCAGTACAAGGAGACTGGCACATACAGGAACACCTGAAAGCACAAAAACAGGAAACCACAAGCAAGTACTCATAAAGTCACCCGTATGAAAAAGATCAAAAGAAATTCTTCAGGAAATACAATAAAACTCTTACAGTGAATTTGAACAGTTACTGCAGTTTACGACAGGACACTACAAAGCATTATAGATTACTATTGGACAGTACTACAGAATATTATAGAGAGAATACTGTATTATAGATTATTATAAGTACTATGCAATACTGTAGCTTTTTATTACTAAAGTTCTTTGAAATGGAAAGATAACTTAATTTATACAAACTACAACACTGACAAGTCACAGGGAAAGACAATGAAGGCAGAGAGAACTAAAAACCAGATAGGAGACGGGAAACGAGTAGAGACAGGAAACTTCAGAGCTGATGGATTCAAACACAGTCAGTTTAGACCCCAGGATCGAATTCTGAGACACTTTATTTACTAAAGCAATACGCCATGAAATGCTGTGCATTCCAGTGATTTGACCACTGTTAAGTGTGTTATTAAACACGAACTATAGACTGCCATCACCATTTTATAGTCGCCGTCAATGAGCAAATGAAAAAAAAACATCCTACATGCCCTCCTATACAGTTCAGGTATATAAAAATAATAATACAATAAACTCAATAAATATATAAAAACAAGTAGGAAATAAAACATGTTTACATTATATAATAATAGTCATAATAGTTAAATACAGTGGGGTCCAAAATTGATGATAGTAAAAATGCTTTTATTTTGCATTCCGTTCTAATCTAATATAATTTTTTTCATTACAAATTACATTATCAGCATAACATCTGAGCGAAAAAGTAGAAACTTTAAAATGTTTACATAAATTTCAGCATTATTCTCAGTTGCTTCTGTTCACTATATCAGCAGCACATAATGACACAGAATAGCCTCCCTCTCTTTACCTTTGATTTATTTTGCAGGAGGCACCTTTAGCATAGACACAATGTTCATCATACTGACCCTTAGCATTATTCACATCATTAAATGTGTTGGAGATTTTGAGGAAAGTGTTAGACAACAATATTGAATACATAACAAATATATGTAATACAGTATGTACCACCTGTGTTACACACATATACACTGTTGCTAACTGTACAACAGAATTCCACTGATAGATGGAGTCTAATGGAAATCTGTAACTAGTAATGTAATCTGTCTAATTATATGCAAGTAACACTAAAAAGTGATGTGTCAATGTAATGTTTTATTCAAGAAGAATGCAATTTCAATGCTATTTGTTTTTCAGCATTTTCCATCGGTTTGTTAAACCTTCTCCAAATGTGCTGACCAAATTGGTAAAGATGAGGACACGGGCACAGATTCGCCTTGAATTATTAACTTACTTCAGCTCACAACACAACCTGAGCCTAAACCTCAGATGCATGAGCATCCGTAAACCTACCTCTGTGGACATTTAAAAGTATATCTGTCCCTTATAGTATGTCATTTTCTACCTGACCAAAGCCAGAAAGAAATGTAAAACGAAGTCATCGCCATTAGTTTTCTGCAAATTTGATGCTTACAATGCTCTTTTACTACATAATCTGGCATCTGGCAAAACATCTAACAGTTCAGATAAAACATAAATGGAGCATAAACATGTTTCATGCCGTGGCAATATGCTTCAACCTTCGATAAGCTGGTTTAGGTTTGAAAGTTTGCTGCTGTTTTTCCTCATTTCTGTGCATCTCAACTGTCTGATTTTAACTTTATCATCTTCTCTGTGTAGAAGTTGTGCCTGTGGTGAGCGGATATTTATAGTGAAGGAGCTGCAGTATCAGTTGTGTTTATGTGAATCCAGCTTTCTTGTCGATTGCTATTGTTTTCTATCACCACAGAAGTGCTGGAAATTAATGACTGCGCTGCTGTTAGGAACAGCCTACAGCCTGATGTAATGACATTGCTGGACGTTGTGAAATTGTATCTGTAAAGTTTTGCCCACCCACTTTGTGTATGAAGACTTGGAAGTAGACAGTTCTGCGTCATGCAACTCCTGGTCTGAAAACAAGCACCACTCCGGCCCTGGTAGTTGTAATCTTACTGATTTGATGCTCATGTGTTAAAAAATGTCTAAACTATAGTTGTGGTCCAGGAGTGCTTCGATTTAGTCATACAGAGACACGTGGCTGCATGTCAATCTCTCATACTATTACTCCTAGTAAAAGTTTCTTATATGCAAATCAGATGTTTTGAAACGTCTTACATAACCACCAATGTTATCAACTATCACAACTTCAGAACTGCTTAAACCACAGACATAGTACACCTATCACAGCAATCAGCAGACCCTGCCCTCACAAGCCAGAGCGACACTATCAAGGTGTGACAGGATTTTCGGCTCAAAAAACGACCAAAAATCAAATCTATAACCTGATATTAGTTCTCTGAAGCTGTTGGGCTTCATATCACAACAAAGGATTAATACAGCCACACAATACAAAATCACAGCTATCAAGACTCTCCCTTTCTTGCCAGTGTGATTTCATGTAGCTGCAGAGAAGTATTAGCCAGTATTTCTGCTCAAAAACCACCCAAAACCTGCTCCAATAAACTCCATTGTATTTCTGTTTTAATCCTCCTATTGAATCTACTACTGCACATATTTTAGTCCAGAAATTCTCCTCATGTCAGTGAAACTGGACTAAAAATAATAATCCAAATTACACATTTCAAACAAGTGTGGCACCATCTTGTCCTAGTGTAGAATCTGACATCAGAAGGTTGGTTGTCTTGGAAAATTCACATAAGTTTATATCAGCTATTAACTTACATTAGCTAACTTTAACTCTAACCAAACCAAAAGTCGGTGAAAGGAGGCAGCGTCACTTTTATATTTGCCCCTGGATGTAGCAATGAATGTCATATAATACAAAACAAAGAAAAATAGTCCATTTTCATACTTTGCCTCTAAGCGGCAAGGTGTTCTTCGACGTTGGCTAGCTGACAAAACCTCAGTTGGGAATAACTGAATAACTTGGCTGCTTTTGACTTCTGTAACTTTTTTATAAAAACATATTCAGTTAAATGCACCAGAAATCTGTTTACTACATTCTGTGACTAAGTTAAAGCTGGTGACCACATACATCTTTAAGCATTTCCTTTATAGCAGATCAAATGAAACAGGCACCTTTTTTGTTCTAAAACCATCAAGTGAAAGTGAAACTGTTCTGTTGTTGGTTTTAATCGCTTCACTCTTGTTGCTGATTCTCAACATATGCATGAAACTGGGTCACCTGAGTTTTGTTTGTTGATATACAGGGACCTGTTAGCTTGAAAATGGTTCAGCAAGATTCACATTTTCCCCATTGGCTCCTGGTGTCATTTATTTGCTTACTGGGGTCCCTATGTTTGACTTACCCTACCCTACCCCTGTAGGCATTTCTTTTCTTTCCTTTGGTTAACTGCCTAGCCTTATTGGTTATGGGCGCATATTAAACTGAATAGCTTTTTTTCATTTTAATTATGACTCCTATTAGTTGAACATCACATCATGTTAATTTAAATGAATATATGTATTCAGTGGTGTAATCCTAACAAAATACACAAAAACACATCTTTCAAAGTCAGAATACAAACACTGCCCAGCACATATACTTATAGATATGCCTAATAAACACCACTGATAAACATAATCAGTCCAAAAAAGTACATAAAACTGAAGCATCTAAGAAGCTACTTAACAAGGTTCTGCAGAGTCTATTGAGATCACATATTAACATAAATTGTCATTTTTTCAGTTTAGCTTTGACAGGATGCAAATCCCAATGTTTGCACCTCAGACATAATGGAATTGAATTTAGGAAAATAACATATGTGTCCTCCTTTATTTTGTGTTCTCTCAGCTCCTGGCTGACAAAGCGCACTGCCAGAAACACTACAAGAACCAGCGGCACAAAAGGAACTGGGTTATCCCTGCAATAAAGCTTGTGGAGAATGTGGATTACACTAAAGAACAATTCATTGCCCAAGTAAGACAATTTTTACAATATGTGCCACATCCAGATGTGTAGCTTACCACAGTTTAAAGGACTGTTTACTTGATTAACACAGATGTAAGAAAATGTGAAACCTAATTGAAATAACAAAACACAACAAAATGCAAAAACAGTCTGTTATGTAACGCAGATGTAAACTGAATTTACTGGATTTGATTTCCACATGAATAAAATACAGTCCATTAACACAACATTGTCTTTCAGTTAAGTTACTTTTGGCAACAACTATGTTGATGTAATATCGTTTATACATATGATCATTGTTAATTTGGAGTCAAGTAAATCCAGTCACTTTGTTCTGTGCGGTTAAATTTTTCTTACTCATTCATGACACAGAAGCTTCCAGTACTTTTACCTTTGCATTCCACTTTACACTTGTGTTTCTATGGAAACTGTCTCAGATCGGCTCAGATTTGGGTGGTAAGCTGCGTTACACCCTGAAAGGCCCTGGAGCTGATCAGCCACCCTATAACTTATTCATGGTGGAAGAGAACACAGGAAAGGTCCGGATCACGGGAATTCTGGACAGAGAGGAAATTCCTTCATATAAGGTGAGGACAGAACACCAGCACACACACATATATACACACCTGTTTCTACACAATGTCAGGATGTGGGGCAAGTCCCTCTGTCAAAGGGCACGTGCTACAATGAGCACGTGCCCTTTGCCTTCTGACTAGCCACACCTTCAGAGTCTCAGTCTTGGCTAGGAGCGGGACATTACAATGTCTTATGCATAGGAGAGAAAAATGCTTTCAAAAATTGAAGTGCCTACAACTTTTGTATAGGACTTTATATGGCAGATATATTTTCACAGTCACACTGTAAACTCCTAACCAGCTGCCATTTAACGTGGCATTTCTCTTTTCTACAGCTTGAAGGTGTTGCATGGTATAGAAATAACACCATTGCTGAAGAGGCCATAAACTTACCCTTTGAAGTGGGAGACCAGAATGACAACCCACCTGTGTTTATTAAACCAGAACCAGCCAGCGTTTATGAAGGCAGTCCTGTGGGTGAGTCTGATCTGCTGTTAAAAGCATTTATTCACCTGGACAAGGGTGGCCTGCTTCTGTAACATCAGAGAAACACAGCTTTGGTTTTCTCAACATTTTCACACATTTTTTTTTTTCAATTTGCTCTGATTCTGTTTTTGTTAGGCACTTAGTGTTTGGTCACTGTTTTACAACAGTTTCTTAACTTCCAGGTACATCTGTAACAACAGTCAATGCTACAGATGCAGATTTGCCAAACTCTGCTCACACTAAGATTGCCTTCAGCATAATCAAGCAGGAGCCAGATGGCAAGCAATTCTTTTCCATTGATAAACACTCTGGGGATATCAGTGTGAAGGACTCATCTCTGGATAGAGAGGTTATTTCTAATGATTTTCTATTCACTATTTCTACTATCATACACAGACACTGTTATGAACTGTTATGAGCCAACCTTTTTCTATTTATGAATGTTTGTAAATCATGCATTCCTACTATTTATACCAATTCACACCCTTCCTTCTCAACTCTGCACTGAACTTTTCCCCATCAGACACAAAACTCTTACGTTCTCACTGTAAAAGCCACGGATATGGACGGAGCTCCAGGCGGCAACACAGCAACGACTACAGTGAAGATCCATGTCCTGGACATTAATGATAACGTGCCCACTCTGGAGAAGGATGAGGTAAATCGTTCTCTACACTCTTACGCATTTTAAAAAACTACTATGATCAGAACTTACACTGAGCTACTTTGCCTCACAGTAATGATTGTAAAGGATCTCTAGCCCATTCTTTTACTTGAATTACATTGTCTTCCATATTGTCTTCTTCTGACTCTTCTGCATGTTGAAAGAAAGAGAAAAAAATGTTAATTTGAGAAGCTATTATATGTGAGAACGTATCCAAGCACAATTTAGAATCACCATTTTCTTTCCAACTTCATCTAAATGTGGAACATGCATTCCCTCTAAAAATTAACATATTAGTCCATGCATTTTAGGAAAATATTGGGTTTTAATGGGTGATATTTTTCTTGTTAAGTATACAGTATCTGTGGATGAGAACGTGGCTGATGTAGAAGTCCTACGCATCCAGTCCCTGGATAAAGACGAGGAACGGACAGACAACTGGCTGACCGTATTTCAGCTTGTGTCAGGAAATGAGGATGGATATTTCAATATTATAACAGATCCTGACACAAACGAGGGGGTGCTGTACCTGATCAAGGTCTGTCCCTGCACTTTTCTTACACATGACATTAGATTTGACTTCTACACAAGAATGCAGCTCAAAAGTACAATTACTACTGCAAGAATACTGTTATTGGAAGGGATGGTCAGTCGTCTTCTTAACCGTGAAAACAACACTGGTACTTTAGCTAAAACTGAATAAATGCATATATTACATACTGGTCAAAGGTCAGAGACCAACATTCATTTAGTTCATTTTCAGTCTGAACAGTCTTTATGTACAAGGTATTCATTTGTCAGCATCAGCAAAAAAGCAGAAAACATATATTTAACACAAAATTACACAGAAGCCTCAACAACTAAGTATAATAATGTGGCGGCTGCCAGAGGGTGCACTGCCTCTCATGAGCACAGAAGCTTTGCTATGCATAAATGCATTTGAAGAGGCTCATGGGACACACGCGCAGCCCCAGTGAATAGGGACTGTTTATGTTGTGTTTCATATTATATGTTGTTGTTCTTTGAGTTTGTTTATTTGTTACTTTCTTCTCGGTTTGGGGACCAGTTAGAGTTGGTTTCTGTTAATAACCATAAGAGTAATAACAGGGCTAGGAGTGACCTGCCTCTAGTTTCTGTTGCTTTTCTAGTGGCCTTTCTGCCTTGTTTATTTATTAAAGAGCATTTTCCGAGCAAAAATTATGGCCTAACCTGACTCTTTGTCCGATCGACATTACAATATTTTTTTCCCAGTATTTAGAGTTCCACTTCCAAATGAAGTTCCATTCTTTCAAAAGATTTCAGTTTTTCAAAGAATTCTGCAGGGATATTTTCACACACCTCTAAAGTTCAGTCTTAGACAAACATATTCAGTGATGTTTAGGTCTGGACTCTGGGGTGACCAGTCCATTCCCTGCAAAAATGTAGGTGAAATCATCTGAAATCTAATCAATATGCCTAATACGTCTCATTGCAAGATGGTTGTAGAAATATTATAAGATTATTCAACTTCTTTCTAGATTTTTATTTTCAAGTGTTATGTTTCAAGTAATTTTATCTAGTGAAATTGTCTTATTCTGTTAGCTGAAAATGTTGCTTGTTCCAAGCATTACTTTCTTAAAATAAGCAAAATTATCAGCACCATGCACTCAAACAGGCAAAATTATCTACCAAAAGAATAAAACAATATCTCTAGATAAAATTACTTAAAACAATTAAAATCTAGAAATAAATTTAAAAATCTTACGTTTTTACAACAATTTTAAACTGAGACATTCTAGATATTTTAACTAGTATTTTTTAGATCTGAAGCAAGAGTGGAGAGAGGTTTCCTTTTCCCTCTATAAAATGAAAGCTTTAAGTAGCATTTATCTGATGGTGACAGTTTTGGTGGTCCACCAGGTCTTGTTTTTAGGAGCACTATTTTCTCTATATCTCTTAATCGTTTTCTAAACTCTGAATAGTTTTAGAAGCTCCAGCTTTTTCTCTTATTTTCTTTGATTTTTCTCTTCCTTATGCAAGTGGGTTATCTTATATCTAATGTCCTTAGAAATATCTCCTGAAAATAATTAACTTAATGGCCATTTTGACTGGAAATTAAAAGGATTAGTACAGGGTACTTTTGCAAAGTACTGTACTAATATAATAACTTGTAATGTCCATGTAAATGTTATTGTTTACTAGAAACTTACTGTGAGTTCTCCTTTTTGTCTCCATCTCTCCTGTAGCCTATTGACTTTGAGACAGTCACTAATCTAGATTTGGGTTTGGTTCTGGAAAACAAAGCTCCTGAGGGAGCTGCAGCAGGGATGGGGTCTGGATCTGGGACTGGTGCTGGAACAGGAGCAGGTGGAGTGGGTGGCACAGGAGGGAGACCAATAAGACCTGGCACTGGAGGAACAGGCACAAGCCTGATAAAGTACAAGATATACATGTTAAGGGTTAAAGTGAATAATAGGCCAGATGGACCAAAGTACAGGCGAAGTCCTAAAGTTGTGCCTGTGTCAGAGAACACTAAAGGCAGTCCCATGCCAAGAGTTATTGCCACTTACCCTGCCATGGATGGTGACACAGGAAAACAGGCAGAAAAAGTCAGGTTAGTGTTCTAAAGTCTAATTCAGATCCAACAAGAGTAACCCTTACTTAACCTTGACCCCTTTTGTAAACACTATGAGAACAATGTTTTAAAAATGTTTGATTCACTTGGTTGTTAAAATAATAATTAAAAACAAATAAATAGATAAAAATCGGCAGGGGTCCTTTCAGGCCATGAGTCAACATTGTGCAACAAGGCAAAGAAATGATACAGAGCATTAATAAGAAACAGGATCTAAACACCTGGAACAAAATCAGTATCTATATTTTGCTTCAGATGTTTTCAATGTTTAAAAACAGAGAACCACTCTATGATATTATTTTCAGTTTCACCACAAAGTAATTTTTCAATTTTTGCACACTAAACTATCATTTAAAACCACAAATAATAATTACATGCTAAACATGCTAAACAATAACAAGCATCAAGTAATTTTCATAAATCAGATGACATTAGTATAACATGCTGCATACATATAAAATATGTGACTTTAGTGACTGCTGTTTAGTGTTTATCATAACAATGCAGTCAGTGAAATTCCATAATTTGTGATTTGTGCTTCATTTATTTTTAGATATGCTAAAGGATATGACCCTGCTAACTGGCTGTCCATTGATGAAAACACAGCTGAGATCAAACTCAACAAGATACCAGATCGAGAATCACCACATGTTGTTAATGGAACCTATTATGCCAAGATCCTCTGCATAACTGATGGTATGAAACTAATGTAAACTTTACAAACTCCTGGAGTCAGAAGACCACTATCTCTTAGGATTAGGGTCTGTTAGACTCTAAAAATCAAATAAATAGATTTCATCTGAAGATTTTCTTCCCTAGATATGCCGTCTCTGACTGCCACGGGAACCATAGCATTAGAGGTAGAGGACTTCAATGACAACTGTCCTAAATTGCTCAGTACACTGCAGCGTGTGTGCAGTGATGTCCCAGAGGTTAATGTGACAGCAGTGGATGCAGATGCTCATCCTAATGGTGCTCCTCTTCAGTTCCTTGTGATTCCAGAGGAGACAACAGGAAAATGGAACATGAAGAAGAAAAGTGGTAAGTGGTGGTTCAAAATTAGCTTAGAGCTTAATGGCTACAAACTAAATGAAACCATTACAGACAACATGCATAATAATGACAATAATCACAAATGATCAGTGATCCTACTCCACAGCACGTCTCTAATTCATTATGCACCTCTTCAGATGAAGCAGCCGCACTGATACCGCAGGAAAGCTTGTGGCCTGGTTCCTACAAAGTCACCATGGAAATCAAAGATCAGCAGGGTTTGGCCTGTCCTGACAAACAAGTCCTCCAGATAGAGGTGTGCACCTGCTCAGAGGAAGGAACATGCAGCCACAGTCGTGCTGTTAAAACTGCTGCCACTGCTTCGTTTGGAGCCCTAGGCATTGGTTTTCTTCTTCTAGGATTCCTAATCCTCCTCTGTGAGTACAGGTTCAAGCCCCTTAATGATGTCTCTATGTTTTCTACAAGATACACAACAGTTTGCAAATATACAATAAACACACAGGGAAGAAATACATATGATAGTAAATACACAGAACAATTTATACACACTGACCGACTGAGTGGCCACTTCAAGTACACCTCCTTGTACTTTGTTAGGCTCCCTGTACCCTGTTCTTCAATGGTCAGGACCCCCACAGCTCCACCACAGAGCGGGTATTATTTGGGTGGTGGATCATTCTCGGCACTGCCATTATATTAAAGTGGTGGTGGCGTGTCCTGTGGCAGTGTCCTGTGACCACTGAATGACTAGAGGATGAGTAGTACAAACTGTGAGTGTAGATACAAGGTAGGTATACTTAATGAAGTGGCCTGTCAGGGTGTGTGTGTGTATGTGTGTGTGTCATATATATATGGGAATTAATATGGAATTGCCCCCCCCTTGCGTTTATAAAAACAAAAAACAGCCCAGACCGTTATTCCTCCTCCGAGAAACTTTACTGTTGCTATTACGCATTCTGATAGATAGCGTTCTCCTGGCATCTGCCAAAGCTGGATTCATCTGTCAGACTGCCAGATAGTGAAACGTGAGTCATCACTTAAAAGAACATGTTTCCACTGCTTCAGAGTTCAGTGGTATGTGGCATGCTTTACTGACTTGTGATGAAGGTGGCATCCAATGATAACGCCATGGTTAAAGTCACTGAGATCTTCAGTATAACCCATTCTACTGCCAGAGTTTGCCTATCGAGACTGCGGCCCTTTGTGAAAAAAGTAATCGCCCCCTTAGCTACTAAAGCAAACAGTTAACCAAATTCAATTGACTATTGGGTTCAGTTTCACTAGGGATAATTAGTGCCAGACCTGTTGAATCCAAAAATCACTTGAGTAGCACCTGTATGGCAATGTGAAGCAGGGTAGAATGTCTCAAAAAGTAGCACATGATGCCACGTTCCAAAGAGATTAAAATACAGATGTGACAGTCATTGAAACCTACTAGTCCGGAAAGGGTTTCGAAGCCATTGTTAAGGCTCTGGCACTCTAGTGAACCATAGTAAAAGCCATAACTCACAAAAGGAGAAAACTTGGAACAATGTATGTTAATGTTAAGGTTATGGAGTGGCCGAATCAAAGTCCTGACTTGAATTCCATTGAGATGCTGGGGCAAGACCTTAAATGGGCAGTTCATGCTCGGAAACTCTCCAGTGTAGTCGAATTAAAACAGTTCTGCATAGAGTAGGCCAAAATTCCTTCACAGCAATGTAAAAGACTCATGGCATGTTATCGCAAACATTTGATTGCAGTTGTTAACTGTCAAGGGTGGCACAACCAGTTATTACAGGGTGCCCAATCCTGGTGCTGGAGATCTACCACCCTGGAAAGTTCAGATCCAACACACATGGCTCATACATTCAGATGCCCTTGAAGGCTTTGATTACCTGGATCAGGTGTGTTAGATTAGTATTGGGTCTAAACTCTGCAGGGTGGTAGACCTCCTGGACCAGGACCAGACACTCCTGAGTCATTAGGTGTAGGGGGCAATTACTTTTTCACATGAGTGATACAGGTTTTGAATAAATCTTTATCTTCAATAAACGGGATGATCATTTAAAAGCTTGTGTTGTCTGTATCTTATACTAAAATTAGTTGGACGATCTGAAATATTTAAATGTAACAAATTAGCAAAAATAGAAGAAATCGAGTGAGGGGCTAATACTTTTTCACAGTACTACACACACACAAACACACACACACACACACACACACACACACACACATGTATATATATATATATATATATATATATATATATATATATATATGTATCCATGTTAGGAGGAACACTTGTACATCTGTTCATTCATACAATTATCTAATCAACCAGTCACCAGCAATTTCAGGTAATGTTATAATGTTCTTTTTATCCATAAGAATATCATAATATAATATAATATCATAATATCATATTCTATCATAAGAATGTGGAAAAATGTGACCTCAGTGATTTTGACTGTGGAATAATTGTGGGTGCCAGGTGGCCTGGCTCGACTGTTTCTACAGTAATGCACCATGTCACAAAGCAAAAGCTATGTGACTGGTTTCATGAGAATGACAGTAAGGTCAGTGATCTTCTGTGGCCTTCCCGGTCAGTGGATCTGAATCCAATTAAACACCTTTGGGACGTGGTTCAATGTGATATTCAAAGCATGACAGTGCATCTGAAAAATCTACAAGAACTGCAAGGCAACATGGACCAGATATATATATTCATATAGTCAAAACAGATTGAGATCCCACAGCCCCATTCAGAATTAAAGAATTAAACAAAGTTTCACAATCACTACAACTTTCAACCTGTTTCTTCACACTTGAAAGAAGCTGTCATATTTGATATCTGATTACATTTGCTACTTGCAGGTAGCATTTACTTGTTTTGACTTTCACAATTGGTTAGATGCCAGTTTCACTTTTAAAACTCCACTGTTGACTTTAACCCTGAGGTACTTTACATGTCTACAGGTTTGAAGACACCTGCTCCATATTTCATCTGAAATCCATAGTATTAATAGGAAATGGGAACTGCCATTTCCTATTACTCCTTTTCTGGGAGCCTTTGCACTAGACATTGATACATTACTGTGACACAAGATACCTTAACGTTCTGACCTCTGTGTTCTGTCTTTGTGTTTTTTAGTGGTACCATTGCTTTTGCTGAGCTGTTCCTGTGGCACGACTAATGGAGGAGTTGGTTTTCCAGAATATTTTAAAGACATGCCATTTGATAAAAAAGAATACTTAATGGCATATCATACGGAAGGACCAGGGGAAGACAGGGTACGACATTCTCTTTTTTCCATACGATAAACAGTACATTTTTAATACAGTTAGAGTATGATGCAATCAATTGCTTATGTGCAGTCAAGTTAAGCATTTTGTTATACATTTCCTCTTTGCAGGAGATTCCTCTGCTGAGTGCTCCGCTCTCAATCTTATTACCTGAAGGACTGAATGTCCAAGCAGGCAATGTGTCTTCAAACATGGCTGTAAACATGAACTCAACAGTCCCTGCCACAGCTGGTGTGTTTGGTGGATATGATTATGCACAGACTGGCATGAGGGAGATGGCCTACAACAAGATACTACAATGGCCTTCAAGAGATGACAACTTCCAGTATTTAAGAGAGAGTGACATGTCCTTGTCTGATGGGTTTTTACAAAGATACTTCACACAGGTAAGTGACTTTCATATTATTATAAATTACTTTCAGGTTTCATATTATGGGGAGGAGTTAGAGGTCAGTATGTTTTTTTTAGAGCAGTGGACCCCAGTCAGCCAGCAACAGATGCTAAGAGCTTAATATGGCTTCAGACAATCACACTAATAACAATATATAACAGTATCCTCCTCAATATGATTTATGTATTTGGCTTTTTTTTATTGCAGAAAGCAAGTTATGAAGCGGAGAATGCACAACTACAGGAAGCTCTGGTGGTGTACAAATATGAGGGGCAGGGATCAACTGCCAGTTCTGTGACCTGTGATAGCCTTCTTGAATCGTCTGATGACCTGGAGTTCCTGGATGACCTGGGGCCAAAATTTACCACCCTGGCCCAAGTCTGTGGATTCACCTGCCCTGAGTTAGAACTTGAGTCCAAAGCAACCTTTGAGAAAACAACTGAAATTGCCTGTGAAAGATCTGCAGATGTTGTGAGCTCTAGTCACGCAATGAAAACTTCAGAAATTACTGTTGAGTCACCACCAGCCCCCATACTGATGAGTGAGAATTCATCCATGCAAAGCCAAATGTTAGTGGTTCAGGAACCTTTGTACTACATGGTCGAGCAGGTGCCCCCCACTGTTCTACTGGCAGGACAGGCCTCTGTTGAATTAGGGCAAGGCATGTACCTGGTCAATGGAATGTCAGGAACTGAAGGGATAATTCTTAACCAAAGTTATCATGCAGAAAACCAGCAAAGCAACATCATTACATCCCAACATCCCAACCCACCTAAAGGCAAATCTGTCTTGTGTCAGGGAAGTTTGGGGTGGATGCATCAGGGTTCCTTCTCTGGAGAAACCGGGTCGGAGGCTGTGATCATGACAAGTGGTCATTCAGTAGTAGGACAAACACCTGGTATTAGCAATGGAACCTTACTCAAGGGTGAGCAGGTTGTCATCATGGAAAAGGCTACTGGGTCAGGACATGTGGTTTTAGGGGAAGCCCTAACTAGACTGAATCAAACTCTAGTTCAGAATGTTTCACCAGTTCAGAACTTCATAATGATGCCAGGGCAGTTACCTCCAACAGGATTAAAGCCAAAGAGAGTAAATACATTGCAGATGGGCCTTCAAGGAGTAAATCACAGAGAAGCTGTACTTGAAGGAAGTGAACAGAATACAGTAACACTTGTGGAGAGTCCAGGTCAGGTACTAGTAAGAAGTCAAGCTCTTCCAGCACAGATAAAGCCACTAAAATAAATAAACTGCAGAGGAGAACTGGAGAGATAAAACATGGGGAAGTTGTAGTTGGAACAGGCAAACAGAATATAGTCAAGTCAAGGGCTAAGAGGCTTTTATTGTCAGTATATTGTCAGTATTGTATAGTATCTCTTGTGAAGAGTCCAGGTCCGTAGGAAGACAAGCCACCTTAGCACAGTTAAAACCAGTGAAAATAAGTATGTCACAGAGGGGAACTGGGGGGATAAACCACAAGGATGTTGTACTTGGAACAAGTGAACAGAATTAAGCTCTTGTGGAGGGAAACAGGTTTATGGAAGTTTTCTTAGAACAAGTCCAGTACCCAAGAGCCCTGTATAGCTGTCTAGTCATTAATGGTCAGGATTTCCCGAAAACAGAGATGTTCCTTAAATGGCAGACCAGACATCACACTGAACACTCAGTTGGTTAAGATGATCTTAACTCTCAGATGCTTTTGGGAAACTGGATGAGGCTTGGCAGGGAGCTTCTGGAAATTGTCCAGGCTGGAGGTAGTCAAGGCTTTTAAGAATCCTTTAAAAAAAAGATTAAGTGTTTTGAAGGATTTGGTTATTGCACTGGCCTATAATCTTATTTATGTTGAAATTTTAAATCTTAGGTATGTTGATTCTAAGATATAAAATGCTCATGCACTGATCGTTGTACCTTGAAATATAAGATGTTTTATTATTATTTTTATGGGGCTGTGTTTTTATGCTAAATCTAAATTGCAAGAGTGGCAAAGCTTCCATATGAACAATGTGCTGTTAATGCCTTGTAATATTAATTTAAACATTTTCACTTAGTATTCCCTGATTATCCAGGATAAGAAAAGGAGGACATGTATTTTTATAATGGTTTGCCAAATAATAATGTTAAAATAATTGGTGGTATTGTTTTTTAGTAAATAGCAGTCTTGTGTTTCTTTAGGAAGTCTATGCTTTTGTCATTTGATATTTTTGCCATTGATTTCATATTCAACTGATTATGTCATACTATTCAAAAAATAATATTCAAGGCTAATACTCGAGTATCCACAAAGGACCAAAAGTCCTTCAGTATTTTGTTTTGTAATTGTTAACAAATGCTTTATAACAAAACTGGAACACAGGCAAGGCAATAAAACCCTACCCCAAAGTATCTGAGTGAACTCGCTAAGCCTTATGGCACAGCATGCCTGCTTCAATCATTACAAGTATCTGTTTGCATCATGATCACCATACACCTTAAATGTTACTGAATATTCATTTGACATTTGTATAAAAGGACCAGCTTCCCAAATTAGCTCAAACTGTGGACCCACAGTAAAAACGATTAAAAAACAACAACAAAGTATTCAGACCATAAATATTTACAAGGATTACGTTATGATCTATTTAAACCCAAGGCAATAAGTGAGACAGTAAAAAGCTAAATATATACAAAATCACCATTTATATGGTTCTTTCTATTCGGAGGCGTCTGTCTAACCTCTAAATTTCAACTTGTTAAAATAATACTGCATTTTAAAAAAAATGTATGTTGAAATAAATATCTACTATTTCATTTTTCATCTTTCACAAGAGGGACGAACAACATACATACCAAAACATTTTTAATATTTTTAATAGATATTATTATAATATTTTTCTTTTGGTCTCAGAGGCTGTGAGTGTCTGTCTCACCAGCGGCCTTGTTTTTGTTTATGACAAGATAAAGAGAGACAACATTCGATTGAATACGATTCTGCAGAACAACTGTTGATATTTCAAATCAACAGCAAAACAAATATTCAGTGCTCCTTCAGAAGCTCTGCCCCCCCAAAAAAGTGGAGGCGCATTGCTGAGGTAAATAACACTGAGCTAGCCAGCCTGTTTTTTTAGGTCTTCATTGCCATAAAAACCCTTCGCAAATGTTGCACAGAGAAACACTACAATACAATGTTAGCATGAACACACAGCAAGTAATGTAACTAACATTAGGTTGTGAATTAGCAAACTGTAGCTACAACTGCTGCCACAAAGCTAACCAGCCGCTATCACAAACATTAACAAACCACACAAATACTCACCTCTGGTTCTGTGAAAGAGCAAAGAGAAGTTAATGTTGCTCACCTGTCAAGCAGAAACAGAGCAACCTCCTTATCCCTTTTTCATGCCGATGAAGCTGAAGTCAGCTTCTTTCTCGCCAGCGTCTTGTTCAAATTTCCCATTCCATCTTAAAACGGTGCAGCAGTTACATTCAGGCACCTCAGGCATAGAATGGAACTGCTCCATGATTTAAGGTGAAATGGGAAAATGCAAATATGAAGCCAACTTTAGGAAGATTTGGAGGAGGAATTGTTAAAAGACTCAATGGTCACTGTCTTTGAAGAGGGCAAAACAAACCGCAGGGAGGGCCAAAGTTTTCACAGGGCAGGACTAACATGCACCTGTGGCTGGACCAGCTATAAAAAGAGAAAATAGAGAAGCTTGGATTACAAAACAGAGGAAGTGTGACATTATTCACTGCTAAGAACACTATTACTTCACTATATCTTTACATAAAAAGTAGTTATTGGTTCTTATATTAATTCAAATGTAGAACCTTTAACCAATCAACCAACAGAAAGAACAAGTTCTGTAGAAACACATAGAAGTGAATGTGGTGATGTTAACTGCTTCTATAGAGCTAGAATAACTGAGTTCTAGATCTACAGAATAGAATAGAAAATGAGGAGGATAAATAATATCAGAGAGGGTCTCTGAGCCAACTGAGATTTTTGATGATAGGTGGGGTGAGTATGATGTGAAACATAATACTACAGGGTAATTTAGTTTTTTCCCCCAGAAGGCCTTTTAGAGGCGGGCAAACATCGTTACATTTTACAAATGAGGATTATGGGGAAAAAAATATTCTGTCGATAAGATGAATCCTGCTCAGTATGGCCAGCAACATGAACTAACAATGCCAAAACGGTAAATTTTGTCTTCAGTTTGACTTTGAAGGAACTTCAAAATCTTATTTATGAACCTGCACACTTTCCGAAACACAAATTATCATTAACTAAAACTGTCTCAGTGTATTTGACTCATTATTCACACTAAGCAAAACTGTTCTTATGTATTTCACAGTTATTGCACATTTGCCTAATTACAAGAAACTGATGTTTGGAATGTTCAGTCATTGCATGAGAGCTAAAAATCTCCTAACTGATTCTCCAGAACCATTAAACGAGTTAAGAGATTAGCCCTTCGGCTGTTTTATTATTATTACTTAACAGTTCTTCCTTCAAGGAATAGCAGGGAGATAGTTAGGCTCGTTGCCACACGGGTCACTAAATGCAGCCTATTCTTGACATTACTGTAAAGAATGAGATGATGTTTTAACTTAAAAAGCTAGCACCATGACTGATTATTAATTTTTAGTTAAAACAACACATTTTATTTATTAATTTTTAGGGTGTATAGAAAACAGTATCCTGTGACAATGTACTCATTTACTCCCTCTCTCTGCACTACAGATTGCCTTTCCATTGCTGCATGCTGTTGCCATATGGCCACAATCATATTTTAGCGTTTTATATAAAACCTATAGCATCTTAACTGATTTAATTTCTGACAAGGACATTGTAAATTTCCTCAGATTGTGTTTCACATTTTTAAGCTGTTGTTTATGAACATTCAAATATACATACACACTTTGAGCAACCCTTAAACACTAGACCTCAGTATGTAAAAATGTGTGAAAAAAGAAGTACAGTTAACATCAGTTCTGGCATGTGACCAAATAAAAAGTTTGCCATGTTACACTTAAAACCTTCAGTATCTCAAACAAATAGAAAAAAGGGCTTTTACAAAAAAAATGGCAACGCCATGTAGAAAAGGTGGCAGAGCCACAGCAGCCTTATATTTTGGACAGACTATTTCTCTGATCGATCAAGCAGAGGACAAACACTTCCTCCTTTTGTATAATGAGTTCCAGATAAATCAAGATAAATATCTTCAAAGACTTACAACGAAATGAAAAACAACCGCCCCCCAACCACAGGCACCTGTGCATGCACTCCTAAAATGATTAGACAGCCACTCCTCAAGTGGGTTTGGTCAAAAGCCATAGTTTAGATGCCACATGAGTGCATATATAAATGATCTCTGACGGCTTCAGCTTTAATCATTCTCTCTTGGATTCTTTGCGCTTACCTCGATGCAGAATGAAGACCCGCCCTTCACTGAGTCAGGCTCTGCTGCTGTTCCTCGCTGTAAAGGTGAGTCTAGAGACAACTTGAGAATTCTATGTCACGTTTTGGGGTTCAAAAAGGTAAATACTCCTGATGGTGCCAGCGCTGCAAGGTTGGAAATAGTACGGATTAAAGGCGGAAGACAAGGAATACATAATGCATTGCATCAAGGAAGTCCTGAGTTTAGAACACTCAGGTGTAAAACTTCCTTACCATGAATAAAGCTGTTTACAGAGAACCTGTCAGTGTGTTCACCAGCAGTGACACGTACAAACCTGACATTTCTATGCCTAATTTCTGCATTACTTTCTGTCATAATACTTAAATATGTCTAGATGAAGTGTGCTAGATCTGGGCTCAAAGTGAAAAGATTTGTTGCAGGCCATAGAAGAGCTACCTTTGGTTCCCTAAGGGACATTTTAGTGGATGGTTGATTTAAGGAATAATTTTTTTCATGTATTCTCTTTTTGCTGCATCTGTAGCATAAGGTTGCTTACCATGGGCAAAAATATAGGCGTTTTTCCCCGTGCTTATTATAAGAAAACTTGTCGACTCGAAACACACTGCCCATTGGATTCTATTATAAGTGTATTTTGAGTCAACAAGTGTACTGTTTTTCTGAGTACAGTGAAAAATGTCTACATTATTGTCCATGATTAGCGACCATTTGATACGACCATTTGATACAGATTAGGCAGAGAATAGGTTGAAAAATATTAATTCCATTAAAGAATCATCTATTAAAAGGTTCTTTAGGGAACCAAAGATGATGGTTCTTCTGCTGCGCCACTCCATTTTAAGAGTGTATTTCGTCACCACTGGAACAAAAACCTGAATCTTACGTAAATGCAATGTAATATCTGTAGTGTATGTATATGTGTAGGCCAGCATTATTCATATTTCAACTGCTAAACAATTTTGTAATTCAAAGTAGGATAAATACGTAGGATATAATAAAGCAATAAGCCATGAGAGGCCGTGGGTTACTGCGATTTTATCACAGGGAAAGGTGTTCTTTGGCACGACTTGTAGCGCAGTAAAGCACTGCCTCGAGCAGCATATTGCTTTTATAAAATGGCGGCCAACATAAAATATATTAAAATACACAATGTTTTAGATAATAATTTAAGATATTATTAACAATAATTGACATAAACAAGTAAATGTAGTTCTTTTAGAGTACGGTATCATTGCTAAGCAACCATTGACCACTGAATGAGGAGAAGAATGTTTGGTCGCTGTTTTTAAGTATTTTTGGTCACCAAATTACCACCGAGAGTCTTCTGCCAGTCTGACGACACCACTCTTCTCACACTGGGGCTGAATCTCAAACGGCTCCTGCACCCAACAATGCTAAATATCGCTAAAAACTGTCATTTGGGATTCATCCACATTCATACTTGACAGGCTGTGCACTATTTGACAGCAGAAGCTAGAATTTCTAAACGTAATGTTACACAGCACACTATTTTGCTAGGGAGCACGGAGCTCTTTGGGATTCAGGATGGGTTTGATGTGACTTCAGACTGAAACATGGATATTTGAAGCATGTAAGACATTCAGGTGACATTCTTTAGACTTTTATGTTTTTTTTGCTCAGTTTTTTATACCGACAAATCCTGGAATGGTCATCATTTTTAGCAGCTCAGAGAAAAGGCAGGTGAGATCAAAACCAAGGAACACGGAAACTAGGAGTATGAGGAGACTGGCACATACAGGAACACCTGAAAACACAAAACCAGGAAACCACAAGCAAGTGTTCACATAAAACGGTCAACAGAAATTCTTCAGGAAGTTCTTCAGAATTACAATAAGAATCTTACAGTGAATTTGAACAGTTACTACAGTTTACGACAGGACACCACAGACATAATTGGGGTAAATTATACAAACTAAACTAAGTGAG